TGAATTTCTTAAACGCCACATTTCAGATCGTCCAAGATATTGGTCTCTGAATGTCAATTCAACAGAATCCAACATGACAGATTCTGGACTCACAATATTTACTGTAACATCACTATATGCATGCAATTGAAATAAGTTAGCAACACTATGTTCAATGCTAATTGTATCTGAAATTTTTTTTTAATATATTAGTTACATATAATTAGTTATAAATAGTAACATATAATTTTAACTCATCATTGGTATCGTGATAAATATGGAGCTCATCTTGTTACTATTTTGATTACCACTTGTTTAAGTATTATTTCATTCCCCTGAAGATATTTAAACATTCCATCGAAATGTTTTAAATATAATAATTTTATAAATATTTCTTAAAAACTTTTTAAAAATGTCATCAATATTCATAAAGTGAGCGATGAGCTCATCCAATAATATAGTCTCAGGCCTAGATGAATAATATTTCGTTCATAAAAACTATGTGCTGCTATGTAATGTCTTATAAGAAATAATATATATATCACATCAAAAAGAAGGAAACCTAATTTTAGTACAATAAAAGCACAATAGTTGAATAATGTGAAGTTTTAAAAGAAGATCTTTAAATTTAAATTATGACTTGATTATAAAGTTAATTTGAGTGGCTTTCAATTAAAAATATAATTATTCACAAACCTCAAGTTACAAGTAATCTAATATACTATTAACATTTTTTCACCCTATTTTATTTGAAAATATAGTACTCTTATAAAAACTTTTAAATAAAATTAAGTAAAGATATTTTTCAGCACATAGGTTAGCCAAACCATTTAATTTAATTTATATAATTAATACTATAAAATTGCCTTTTAGATATGTTAGTGTACACATGGGTAGATTGGAGAGAGATTTCGGTCCAGAAAAATACAAAAGTACTGGCCCACTTACTTATTTACCAAATATTAAATTGTAGCCAACATGTATTATTATAATTTTAACATAATTACAATATAATGTATTACATATTTGGGAAGATTTGCTTTATTAAAACGGTAATAGAATTGAATATACATCAAAATAGACATTTTTTTTTTTTAACAACTAATGTCACTACACATTTACAATAGTCTGGGTTTTTTTACCTAAACAACACAATAAAAATGAATAATTTTAATTATGTTACAGTTTTTGTATTTAATCATAATGTACTTTTAGACTTTAGTTACCTAATAGTTTCAACATCATCTATTTTGTATAGAACATCTTTTTCTACCACCGTGAGCATAACATTTTCTAGTTTACTCTCACTTAATGTACTACATTTACTTTATAGTATCCTTTGGTGAAATCTATCTATCTATAATTGTGCATTATAAATACATGTTGGAATCTTGTATGGTACTATCACAGTCGTCTTCATATTATTCAGATACATAGATATACAACACGATACTTATATAAAACCAAATAGTGATTTCTCTTTATTATAAAAGATTTTTTATTAAAATAATGTAATTACTACAGATATTTAAAATAACTAAATATCTAACTAACCAAGCCAATAGCTATTTCGGCTCTGGTAACCACTAGAAGAAATAATGTTTTCACAAAAAATGGATAATTCATGATAATTTTATTGACATAAAATACTATTTTATAATAGTTATTTAAAGAACCAGCTAACAAGGAAAAATCCCAAAATCCCGGGGACCCAATCTGCCCCAAATGTACTTTATGTATATTGTATGTTAACTGTTAAAATTGTCTATAACTATCGTGTATGTATTAGAAACTTGTAAAACAATAGTTACCTTTACTTTGTAAATCATCTTTAAATGCCATAATTTGTAGCAACAATTTATTTTGTTCAGAGTCTGAATGATAAACCTCTACAATATCACCTATAACTGCTTTCGGAAAGTCTTTAATATTGACAATAAGTTCTGAACCTAAAATTGTTATATTAAAAAAAAAGACTGTAATATCTATGAATTAGCAGTATCTAAACATTACAAAATGTACTATACTCACTACTGAAAGCCTTTTGATGGACAGTTAATTTGTAAGTCTTCATCATGGTGATGGCCGATGGGTATTCAAATATTTAATTGTTAATCGTTTAGTTTTACCTAATAATATCTATTACATCACAGTTTGCTGGAAAATTGTATACATTCGAAAAATGTGAGTTAATTGTTAACCACCATATTCTTACTAATGTTATTATCTACATTGTTAACGAAAATTAAGTTAACTGGTAGTCAACAAACTTTGATCAAAAATTCAAAATATAAAAACTAAAATAATAATATGTTACAAAATATAATATTATCTATACACTATAAACTGTTATCAAACACAATTATTATTCTCTTAAAAAGTCAGAGCCCAACGATAATGCAGAGGATATTCACGCGCACATAACATTTGGAACGTTTTGAAACGTTGCGTGACGATACCTCCATTCAGGGAGTAGGTATAATATTATTATATTGATATGTACGTCCTACTATTGATACAAAACAGCTTTTCTTCACTTAAGCACCTCTATCATACAAAAATGACGAATTATTTACATTATGGACATTATGTATTACGACTATTACCTATAATGAACAACTGTAGTGATGGATCATATGGTATCATATGGTACTTAATACCATTACGGCATTACCTATGTGAAATGTGAATATGTAACACAAGACGTGTACAATTAGTGTAGGTAGTAATAATTAATATGCACAAATACATTAGGTTGAATCTAGGGGAAAAAAAGGAACCAAAAAAAAGCCACGACATAGGAAAACAAATCGATTTACAAACAAAACACTAAACAAAAAATAGTCAGCAAACGCTAACCTTCATTGATTATACTCTAATTTTTTATTATTTATTTTAACGTAATTTATTATCGTGCTTTAAGTAAGTTTATACAGGTACAATTATTCATTTTTGTACCTACTATTACATCATGTTATTTAATAACAATACACTAAACATTGTTTTTCATTAGGACCATTCGGTACCTAATCAAATAATATATTTAATTAAATAATAGTTATTGTATATAATATTATTAAAACTTTTGAAAACCATGTTAAATAGAAATAAAAGTATAAATAAAAGAATAGGTATAGAGTCTGTAATTCTATATTATGTTTCGTATATAGATAGTATAAGCACCTACCTAATTATTTATTTAACTATTATTAATACGCCAGTACCTATCTGGCTATCTAAGTTGAATAAATATGTCCTATGGGCCAAGGCATTGTATTTTAAAATGGCATTGTGTGTATAAAAACTATAAAAAAAAAAGGTGGGCAAGTGGGTGTCACTCTGCTCTACAGTAGGTTACAAGTGGGTCACTGTAATGGATGGTGTTAAATTTTAATTCAATGATAATTGATATTATAATTTCCCGATGGGTAGGTCGAATAATCGAATTATGGGGCCAGACAATTTGGTTGTACGAGTAACTTTTTACGATTTTAAGATTATAATAATAATATTTAGTTTTTGGTCTATTTAAAATGTATAGAATAAAAAATAAATAATACGTCAATACGAAAAAAGGTGGGCAAGTGGGTGTCGTTGTGCTGTACAGTAGGTTACAAGTGGGTCACTGTATAATGGATGATATTAAATTTGAATTCAACGATATAATATCATTGTATAAGAAAAACGATTCTGAGCGGAGACGGTATGTCAGTCTAGGTATAAGACATATTATATACATATCTATAATACTAAATCAACATTTTACCTATAATAGGTACCTACTACCTATAATGAATTCAAAATTAATCATATCACAATATCCATTAGGTACTTATAACGCGTTATATACCAACAACAAACCCTGATACTATCATAGATATACAGTAGTATACTTTAGAAGTTTCAAGTACCCACGAAAAATTTTAAACAATCACAACAAAATAACTAAAATAGTTATTCTAGGTTTTTTATTATGTAATTTCGTCCAAATTTGAATTTAAAATGTCTGTAAAAAATAACTGTGTTCATATATTTTTTAGATTTTTTGGTTACAGTATGAACTATTTATGAGAACCTTTGTTTTAAATTTGCAATCCTTAGCTATAAAAACTGAACATTTTATAATTTATTAATTACAATGATTGATCATTTTCAAGATTTTGATAAATTTTGTCAAAATTCGATCTTTAAATGCTTATAAAAAAAACTGTGCCTATGTATTTTTAATATTTTTCAACTGATATTGTAACAATATATCAGGAGCCTTGTATTTTTATACTTTTTGGCCCAACAGATAAAACTTTATTGATATTTATAGAAAAAAAAAACTAAAAAAATTGAAAACTGAAAATGTCCGTAAACAGCTCAAAAAAAGTCAAAATATTTTCAAAATTGTACAGTGTATAGAAAATGCTAATATGAATATTCAGTGAAATTTTCATGTATCTACAAATATTTGTTTTGGCTTGATTGTATATCCATGTATTATAATATAAAATATATAGATTTTATTGTAGATCATCAATCTACAGACAGCCTATACAGGTCTATAGCATATCGGCTATTGCATATAGTGTGTAGATTGTAGAACCTACACTCAGTACTCGTATAACATCGTTATCGACCAGTTCAAAATGTAATTTTTAAAGTGTTGAAATTTATAAAAATGCCAAAAGTTAAAACAAATTTAAAAACGTTAAATGAAGCTAATGGAGATATTGCAACTGTAATTTTGGGTAAACTAAATCGTGTTGTTTTGAAAAACAAAGGCTGGAAACAATTACTGGACATTAATAATATACTGTGAGGTGTTTCATCAAACGAAATTCAATTTCTTGGGATTGATTTAAACGAAACCTCTTGCATGAAGTATGCACTGCTCACTTCAGTAGAACGTTCGTTTTCTGTGTATAAAAACATTCTGTCAGACAATTAATAGTCAGTTTAACTACTGAAAATCTGAAAATACTTAATTCTTTTTTTAATTTAAATTAATATTTAAATTTTTTTTATAACTACCTAATTCATGTTAATTTTTGATCATGCTTTTTGCATTTGCCTTTAAAATAATATACAAGAAGCCCTCTATTAAATTTTCAAGCTTTTTTAACCAACTAATACATTTTTATTGATATTCATAAAAAAAAAACTAATAAAATTGGAAACTGAAAATGTCCCTAAAGATTTCAAAATAAATCAAAATATTTTAAATCTACCTACCTATAAGTATTAATAGCAGAAGTTTTTAAATAATAAATATTTTTTAGGAATCCTAATATTAACTTTTATAATATAATATAATAACAATGCTACTATATTATATGTTCAAACCGAAAAAAAATGAAGATGGGCTTTTTATTATGAATCATACATTTAATTTATTTTAATTGTTTAATTTTTTATCTTTGAAAAAAATTATTAAAACCTCATTTAATTTATAATAATAAATTAATATAATATTATGATCTATGATTATGAAAGTTAACGAGCAATATATAATATAATATAGGCAATAATAGCCTATGATCATAAAAACTTATATCCCACCCCAAAACTAATTCCTAATTACGCCACTGTGAGTACGACTCAGCATTGACAATTTTCTATTTTTTTCTATAAAAATTGGATTATCTAAATATTACATATAAGCAATTGCATTCAATTAATAACATTTAAAGTTCACATGATGACAAATTTCATCAAAATTACAAAAATTTGAAATTCATTTTGTAGTTTGAAATTAATAAAATGTTCTCTTTATATATTATCTAAGATTTGAAAAATAGTATCAATCTGAAAAGTACTTCATAGTTCATACTGTAACCAAAAAATCTAAAAAATATTTAATATTTATTTTTAATTATAGATATTGTAACTTTTATGTTCGAATTTGGGCGAAATTAGATATTTAAATGATGAAGAACAATTATTGTAGTTATTTTGTTCTAATTTAAAAATATTATTCATGTGTACTTGAAACTTTTAAAGTAAATGATTATATTTTATACACACAATGATATTTTCGAATGTTATTTTTTCAACATACTTGTATTAAACAACTACTTAAGTCTAATATTAAAATAACTTATTTTCAGGAACCTCGCAGCTGCCGTTAATTTTAGCTGAAAAGACCTAAAGTATTGACAACATTTGAGTTAGTTAACGTTGTCCAATTTTGATTCAGAAATTTTTAACTCGCCAGAAAATTGTCTATAGATCCTACGAAGCACTTTGTAAAAACTAAATTTTATATTATTGTGAACTGTAATTGAAAACTTGAAAATATGAACTTTTTCAAATTATAATTAAAATTAAAATTAATATTAAAAACGGAAAATGATCTACAGACATTTTTCTGTTGAATTCAAATATTTTTTCAGAATCAAAATCAGACAACGTTAACTAACTTTAATTTTGTCAAAACAAATGGATGTCTTTGTAAAATTCGTGTAGTGAAATTTATATGGTTAACGAGTTTTTGATATATGCATGCGCGTACGAGAGAGGATACCCGCATTTAATTTCACTCACACTAATAATCATTTACAACTAACACTTAGACCCTGAGCGGCTATGACAAGATTATAAATTGCCTAAATGTTGCCCCTTAAATAATGACCTTAGCGAGGCCCCTTAAATGATGCGGTATAATGATTTTTATAATTTAATGAATAAGAAAATAATATTTTTAACAACAACCTATCATTATTAGGCCAATAATCATTTTCTTTATAAGCTCGTTCAACACAATAAACAGCGCTTAGTTGCATTATTATTATAGTGAATCTATGTAATATTTAGGTACTTGGCTTGTTGATGATGAATTTTTTTTTAAATAGCTGATTATTAACTTTACGTTGGAAAAAATGAATAAATAATATAAAGTACATAGTTCGGTTTATTTCTCTTTGAGTACCTGTATGCAGGGCTGCTACCAAGTCACTTTTTGTCACTTTCATCACTTTTTGGAAATACTGTCACTTTTTGCCACTTTTTTTGCTTTTTCATAAAAATAGTCACTCATTGTCACTATTTTGTGTAACAATACTCAAATAGGAGATATTTTTTTGTTTTTATCTAGATATTCATTTATCATATATTTTGTTAACATGCCTACATTTAATTTGTATGTTGGTAACACTGGAAATAAGATTGACCATAATATTAATTAATGACAATATAATGTAACTTGATTCATTATAAAAGCTGAGACTTAGGTACCTACCTAGTTTTTTTTTTGTTCCCATCAGAAACTTGTAATCAAAGTAATATATTGAAGTTGAAAATACCATTTTAATTTATTTTAACAGTTCAATTTTAAATCTGGTATCCAATTAAGTGACAATATGGTATTTTGTGAAAAAAATCAAGTCACTTTTCTCACTTTTTTAAATTTTAGTAACGGTAGCAGCCCTAAGTATGGTACTTCAGTTCACAGGCTAGGCGGTATTGGTGTTCTTCAATTTGTGAACAGCTCCAACAGACTTGCACAATCTATTTGTGCTTGGTGTAATTATTTATTTATTTATTGATAGTAATACCCGTGAGGGCAGAAAGTACAGTACATACAACATAGATTAGGAATAACATATAGAACTAAACTCAAACATCTCAAATTTATAGTTATGCACAAGGAAGATTTAAATTTTAAAAAAATTTTTATTATTTAGAAAGCATACAATGCACATTCAGTTGAGTGCCTTGTGCCTACCATGCAATAGATCTACATAAGACACCAGTCCAATCCTGATTCCTGGCTCAGGGGGCCGATTCTTGAAATCATACGACTAATTCTCGCAGGCGACATAGAGCATACATTTTATCGGCTGTGACTAATTTTTATCACAATTGGTATTCTTGAAGTATTCAGAGTACCTATACTGTTGGTTGGGATATATTTAAAGTGAAATAACTTTTGTTATCAAGTTAGTCACAGACAAATGATACTTTAAGACTGCCTATGAGTTGTTAGTAGGTCTATAGTTTATAATGAATAGTCAATCTATCGTTTGTCTTAGCAATCAATAATTAGATAATTAGATTCAATCAGAAAAATTTTTCCAAAAGTCGATCACCTTATTTGAAATTGCAAAAAAAAATAATTTTGAAAACTTCGTCGAGAGTAAAAATGTTTAAAGTGCGCCTATATTAATTACGAATTATGATACATATATTGTATAAAACATACATTTTTAAAAATATAAAGTAATTGTTGGTATTTTTTAGTTCGTTTATAAGTAATTTTTGATGTTAATGAGTCATTTTAACATTTTTAGGTCAATAAGTTCCGGGCCCTATTTATAACTATAAACGAATCATGAAAATTATTTCACAAAATTGAATGAAAAATAATACTACAATTCAAAGCTATATTAATCATAGAAAAAAGATTAAATATCAATTATCAACCGAACAATTTCAAAAATCAATATCACATGTCTTAAACGTTTGATAATGTATGCGATAATCATGCGACTAAACTTTGCCACTGACTTTTTACCAGTCGACAAATAGTCAAATGTTTTTCGTTCGACTTAAGTCATACCACAATTCAAAAATGCCAAATATTTATTTTTATGCAATAACAATTTTATTGCACCAGACAGTTTATCACAATTTAAAGATTAGGGCAGTGAACAGACCCATTCAATAGCTTATATAATAAAAATAAAGTATAAACCATCATTATAATCTCTTTAATAACCTATTATTTTTTTTCTTCTGTGTAACCAATAGCAACTGAAATTAAACAAAATAAAATCAATATTTGTATTTTTAAGGATGAAATTAATCTATGAACCAATTACACATGCATATATCTATACATATTACATCTAGTATTTTGTTTTTTTAAATATTCTTATTATTGTTTAATATTTAATTTAATTCTTCCAGCTCTATAAAATATGTACCCACCACAAACATCAACAGTTAATGCTCTTTGTCTTTCTAATAAAATAAAATCTTGTAAAAATTTTTTAAGATTTTGTATTATGTCAAAACTTGAATCATACTCCTAAAATATAAAAAAAATAATAATAATATAATAATTATAATAATATAAATATAACTGTCTCACTCACCTCCCCATATTTAACACATATTAAGTTAAACTTGAGATGAGTTAATTATAACAAATATACATAATTATAACACAATTGCATTTATTACATTTATTACAATTTATTCATTTTACAGTCAATTTGTATACATAAATAAATAGTTAAGAATCATTAAATCAAAAAAATTCATGAAAATGATATAGTAATCAAAATACTGTGTATGTTTACATATAATAAACAAAAATCAATGTTATAATAAAATGAATGAATTATAAAAAAAAATGAAGGAGATGTGTTGATTAGACTGGTTAGACTAAAGCATTACAACAGTTATAAAATGTAATAAAAGTCATGTAAAAGTAAAATAAATTAATTAAATAACAGATCATAAATAGTGACATAATCAGATTTATCATTGTTTAGAATCTTAACATAACAATATTACAATTAAACAAAATTTGGAAAATCATTTTAACGATAAAACTTATTCGTTAATCTTATTTTATTTTACAGTAGGTACTCATAAATAAGACCGATTAACATGTTCAGAATGATGACTGAAAACATCAATTCTTTTTAGAATTTTTCCGTAGTTGGGGAGAAGTTTGTTATATGTACAACAGTACATATCATTATGCGAAAACATTCGAGGCATTCGAGTCAAAATATTCAGGTTTTTATTAAATAATAAGGGTGCTTTAAAACGGAGTTCTATACGCCATACCAAGACTTCCTGTAGTTGTTCATATGAGTATATTTTCTGCTTAATGATATTGGCCACGAGTTCGATGCACGTCAAACAACATGCCACAGCTACATTTGCTGAAACCAACATGTTGAATGACGCGACCTTACTATTCGGGCATAAAACACATTGTTTAGGACTTTTACTGGCCTTAATTTTGTCTTTAGAGAGTAATCCAAACACTTTCAATGCGTCAGGACTATTCACGTATGTTTCGTTATTTTTTAATAAATATACATCCAACACACCAGCAGCCACCATTTCACGCTCATCTTTTAATGTCATAACACTTTTTACTTTATTCACCATCGGTTTTTCAACTTCAACATGGCCAACATTTTTCCTCTCCGTGGCAGTTTTTTTGGGTGCATTTTTTGCTAATTTATTAAAATACCCAACCTTTTGTATGCGGTCTTGTATTATTTTAGATAACTTGCGATTAAATATTTCTTGTTCTCGATTTTCTTTGAGATATTCGCATTCGGCTAATAAACGTTCTTTTTTTTTTTCAATTAAAATCTTATCAATAATTTCGTCCAATCCTTCTGTCTCGCTGTCAGAAGAATGGAAATAACTTTCTTCATCGTCGGTTACATCACTGCACGTAACATCAGCATGGCATACATTTTGTAACGGCTCCAAATCTTCGGTTTCCGGATTGTAATCTAAATCATCTGCCGCACCACCCAACATGCATGGTTTATCTCTCCATGCCAAGGCTTTTAGATAAAACATTTCCATTTTATCTAAGTCAGATATAAAGATGCTAGCCCACTGCACGTCCGTGAGAGCGGGGCCTTCGCGCAGCATCGCGGGCGCCAGTGCATAATTTAAGTGAAGATATATTAGTTTAAAAAACATATAAGTGACATCGATGTCCATTTTTAATTTCTTCGTAAATTGTCCGTCTAAACGGGCATTTAAGTGATTGTTCAACATAGTTATCATCGAGGTTACCATTGTTTTGGTCTCAAATGATGGAATTAAATTTTGTAGATAAATTTCATGAAAATTCCTGTCATTTAATAAAAAAAAATGTTTGCAGTTATCTGCTGTTAATTTTGTCTGATATTTATACAAATTTGTATTTATTAAAAACGATACAAATAAATCAATATATAAAAAATAATAATTGTCAAATTTGACACAAAGTGCTCTTGGCACATTTTCTGCTCGACAAAAATAAAAGCTAAGACAATTGGCCACATCTTTTTTTTTTATTATTGTGTCTTCCAGTTCAGGGGTTGTTTTTTGTGTAACCCCATGAAACCACAAACTTTTACTAGTACCAGCAATATTGAAATTATCAATTTCTAATACTCTCGAAAATAAATATCTAAAAATATTGTCTCGGCCCTCTAACAAAGCTTTAACCGTATGCTCAAAAACCGTACTGTGCATATTAAACGTATGAAAAAAACCTGACCACAAGTCATACTGTTCTCCCAAAAACGGAACTAATTTACTCGCAGAGTTTTTTACATATGCCAAACCGGCGGCAGTCAATATTGACGGGTTTTCAAACGCCGCATACGATTTGTACAGTTTCAAGATGTTCATAAACTTATGTTTTCGTCTTTCATTTCTACCGAAATCATTGTGAATAATATTTGTTTCCAAATTTTTAAACATATAATAAAACACCATTTTTTTCTTTTTGCGATTTAAATGCTCTTTGTATCCTAACATATCACTCGTAGACAATTGCCAATAATTGAAAATAAGCAACTCTAATTCACCTTCAAGCAAATCGTAATCCTCGTTCTGAAATTGATTTGGATTATCGGTGGATTTTTTTCCCTTGCTAGCTAATTTACAGAATAAAATTCGGCAAACTATAGTTTCTACTTCCGAAATATAATTCTTTGGAATTTGACCATAAGACAATTTATACTTTAATAGGTCTTGATTGGTGTTGGACTCTAAATGAACGACGTCCCAACAGACGTCAGAATTGGCGCTATACAGTTTTAAGTTATCTCCTAATTTTGATTTCACAAATTTTATTGTGTAATTTTGTTGAACCTGAAATGAATTCAAGGCGTCATATAAATTTACACAATTTTTATCCGGTATTATTTTTTTATATTCTTCTAGGTAAAAAAACTCAATAGGAGATTTTTCTAATGATCTATAAAACTTTGAACGTTTATATTCACATACAACATTACATTTTTGTTTCGTTTTTTCAATATCGTTCCATAAATCTAAGCCCTGTGGCATATGGCTAGTATCAACAGAAAACACTGTTGATCGACATTTTTTAAAATCTTTAATTAGAAAATTGCTTTTTGTCGATATTTCATTGATGTTAACGCATTGTTGGCGAGATGGAATTCTACCTAATTCCGTTACTTCTTTTTCCAATTCATTTTCATCATCTTCGGATATCTCATCACTACTGCTATAGTTATTAAAATGACACACAATTCTTTTGTCCTTAACAATTTTTGACAAGTTTTGGATTGATTTAGGATTTTTTTCATCACAATTATTGCTTTTACTATTATTATTCGACGTACTTTTGTAAGCTCCTACTTCCTTATACGGCGAGTCAATACTTCGTTTCATCTTTTTTTTGATAGATTGGATTTCATCCGTCTATTAACAAAAAAAATTGGATTTAAATATACTATTATCAACTTAGGACGTTAATCGTTAGGTTGCCATCTTAAATTGAAGTAGTACGCTTATTTCATAATATTATATTAATTTAATGTTGATTATTATTTGTATCTAATATTATAATAAAATAAAACCTTAACTTTGCAAACCAAACTGCTGAAGCTATTTTATGGATGTCAAGAAGTTTTATTCAGAATGAAGAATCAAATACAGTGTTACTAGTGGTAGGTATGTAAAAAATAAACTATATTTTTAGTATGAAAGTATTTCAAATCTAATTTTTAAAAAAAATGTCTTATTACACCAAAACACGGTTTTTCACGGAATATCAGTGATAATACAAAAAGTATTTTGAATGTAATAGCTTTAAAACATTTAATAGTTTTTATAAAATTGTATAAAATATTTTGACTTCATGATGGTACAATTTGATGATCTTGTGGAGACTATTGTCCCACAATACTATTCCTGTATTCGCCGTAGCGGCGTCACACGTCAGACAGTCTCACGACGCTAGCCCTCCGTTAAGCACTATTCGTTCTCTCCGCTCAATATTGTTCGCGACTATTATTTTGTAATTAATTTGAATTGTTTTTAATTGTAAAATTCTAACATTAACTCGTTTATTACATTTACGCTTGCTACCAAACGCAACGCATATATTTTTGTGAATTATTCAAATAAAGCAATAATTTACTTGCTGACAATTTAGGTTTTTAACTCTCGAAGTTTTTCCTAACCTCAATCCTCGCTTCCGCAGTTCATTCACTTAAATTGCTACAATCTCAATAAGAAAATATATTCTGTGTTAAATGAAATAAAAAAATCTAAAAGCAGAGAATAAAAAAAAACTCAAAGATGAAATACATAATATATTGAAAATAAAAATTGATGATTTAGATCAACATAATTTTGGACACAGAACATAAATTAAAAGGATAACTAAAACAATTCACGAAAAATGCTCTGACATAGTTTAAATAATTGCTTCAAAGCTAAATTCAGACATCAGACTTACATATTAATTCTGCCTAAAGAATTACCTACCCCGGGAAATAGTTCAGGAATATTAATTGTTGTCATATAATCACTTAAAATGAAAAATATTTTCTTCGCAAGGACAAAAATATGTAAATTACCACTAACATGATTGTACAAGATTGGTCAGTGGAACAAAAGATCCAACGTAAGAATTACCAATGCAATAAGAATATTATACTCTAAAACTTGAAACCTCTGTATATAAATACAAGTATCCATAATGCATAAACACTATTAAAGAAGATAGATGTATCCAAGACATTTTGTATTAAATCGGAAGCATTTAATTTGTTATGATAAATATTTTCTAAAAAGGCTATACAACGTTTATATCAATTTAATATTAACATAGTATACAACAAAATAACAAATCCACTACATGAGAAATCGAGTGAAAATCCAATGTTTTTAAAAATATGAACTTCAAACTCTCATCAAAATTTGATTTGATTGAAGACATTTCTTTTTTTTTTAATAAAGGTAGACAAACTTATGAATATTCTTCTATTACATTTTCAAATCTTAGATTTAAAAAGAAAAATTTTTGTGAATTCTCAACTCAAAATAATTTGCTAATTTTCGTGATTTTTCCGTATTCTGTCAAGATTTAAACTTCAAATGCTTGTAAAAAAAGGATTTTTAATATTTTTCAAATGTCATTGTAACAATTTAGTAGGAGCCTTGTATTAAATTTTTAAGCTTTTCTGAGCTTCTAACCGTTTTTACGTAAAAATATTTAAAACTCCCGGTTTTCCTTAATTTTTTGGTTTTTCTCGGCGCTTTTGAACACTACACACACAATTGAAAAATCAATAAATTCATCGCTTCGGCCAGAATCAAGAATACCTTAACATCACATTTAATTTTTAGATATGACGTTAGTGATATATTTTACTTCTATGATCACTATAATTTAATTGTTTAAAATTATTTTACGATCATTATACAATTAATACATCTAAAAATATTCCTAAAAATGCATTACTGTTATCTAGGTTTGTATAAATAAATGTAGTGTTTGTGATTCATTTTAGGGCAGAGGATTTGTAGGATTTACATAAGTATTTGTTTTTCACAATTATATTATTTAAATATAGTAAGTTTAATATCTATGTAAATCACGGAAATTACTTGCAATTAAATATATTGTTCTGTATAATAGAAAAATACGTACGGATTCATAAAGATCATCCACATTTAACGATTTCAAAATGCCCATAGAGTCTTCTTCGATATTATTTTCGTCATTATCATTCCGCTCTTGATGGTTACCTTGAGGTTGCATCTGAAAGAATTTTAACTACGTCAAAAAACTGCGTTATTCCACAGACGTTTCACCCTAATGTGTGTTCACCATGTTGTACAATACAACATACAAAACATACCATACTCCTAGGAATATGAGGACCCACATAGACGGAAATCCGTTTAAATTTCAGGGAGGGCTGATATTTTTAATACCAATGTGAATGGAGACACCTCGATCAAATATAACTGAAAATAGAAGGGGCACGACAGACTTTTGGTGGGCTAAGTTCCCCTCCCCCCGATTTCCACAAATGTGGAACCCATAGGCGTTATTTCGTTAAAATTCAGGGGGTGCAAAACTAATCAGGAAAGTTACAAACTTTCTACAAAATTGCAAAATACAGCTTGAAAATGCAGTTCTTCGATCAAAATTGAACAGGGCTGGAAGTGGTTAAAGCTATTTCAAAAAGTGACTAAGTGACTAAGTGACTGAGTTTATTCATAAAAGTGACAAAAAAGTGACCTGCATGGCTGCATACGTTTGTTTCATAATAACTTACCAGTTATTAAACATTTGTCTTTGAATCTCTACATACCTATGATTTCATTAATTCTAACTTACTTACATAAATAAAAAAAATAATGATTATAATGAACACAAATTTTAATAGCAAATAATTAAATCATATTACCCATTTCAATTAATAATGTTTATAATATAGAATAATATTCAAGATCATTATTTAGGAACTTCCTTTATTTTAATCATAACTACAAAACACGCCTATGGTTTGTTATAATAGGAATTCATCCCGGATGGTTTTTCAAATATAGTAGACTAATAAAATATATACGAAATTACTATAGATACTTATTATTGTGAAGTTTGATTAGGAAAATTACATAAAAACAAAGTTACTTGCCTATAAACAGGCCTTTTTAACAGCCGTAAGTCATAACACAAGAAAGATATGTACTTAATTATAATATTACATTTTTATTATTTTATAGCATTTTTATTATAATTATATTATAGGTACTATAATTATATTTATTATTGATTATTGTATAACATTTTATTATTTTGGACTTGTATTAAATTAAATTTTATTATATTTTAATATGTGATTTAAGTAAGTAATTAACATTTTTTATGATATTATATAATTTTGTATGTAACTTTAATGTATTTTTCAATACAATTTTAATATATTTATACATCAGTTTTGATATGTTTTCGTTCATTTTTATCGGGACTTTTATTTCCGCGATTCCCGCATGTTACTGTACATTCAAATATGAAGTTGCTTGCCATATACAGTTCAAATTTAAATTTAGGTACATTTTGAAAATAAGTGACATAAGTGACTTATTTTCTAAATAAGTAACTTAAAGTGACTCAAATTTAAAAAAGTGACTTTTAGTTAAAAAAGTGACCCTCTTCCAGCCCTGAAATTGTATACACAATTTAGTATTATCATTAATATGAAGTAAATAAATGTTATTATATAAATGAAAATAATTAGTCAACACTGTAATTTATTACATTGTTATAATAAATATTAATACATATTAATTAACAAAATTAAATTAAACTTAAGCGTCTACCATGTACAGTTGTTCCTGCATTGAACTCGTCGATTACAATTACAAAATCTATAACTCGATTTCTATCAATTTAAAGTTATAACATAGTTATATCAGACAGCCATTCTTGTCCCATAGTTTTTCTGGGGTAAGTTTTAAGGCTTTGTAATCAGGAAAAACAAGACGCAGTATTTGTAGGTATTGTCTTAAATAGTTTTAAAATTTCAGAGAATAAAGGAAACACATTTTTAATTTCACCTTGTTTTATATAATCTAATTTATTTTGAAATACACTATTATTTGAGTTCGATTATTTAGATTTGAACATTCTATTAAAGATATTTAGTTCTACTTGAAGTTTATGATTATCAAACTTATAGGTCTTACAAATAATGTCTAATAATGTTAACATTATTTTATAAATATTTAAAAAATTGGCAAAATTATTATACATTATAAATATAGAAAATTTAGGGTGTGTAAAATGATAGTTTTGAAACTCTCTCAAAAATTCCCGGGGGTGCAAGTGCACCCCTTTGCACTCCCGAGATTACACCTATGGTGGAACCAGTATTACCAAGTATATACAATGATTAATTTATATTGCAATTAAATTGATTTATTTTACAATTAGTAATTAATTATAATTATTTAAATAGGTATTCCCGAAAAATACATAGCATTTGAAAATGGCATTGTGCGTCTATTTGTGTGTATAAAATATAATAACATAAGTACCTTATAAGTTTCTAAATACCCATGAATAACTTTTATGAATTATAACATACTAACTAAAATCGTTATTCTTTGTTCTTAAATCATTAGCTATTATATTTTATTATTACATTTTATATCGAACAATTGGAATTTAGAAGGCAACTTAATGATTTACTCTGGCTTTATGACCTACTAAATTCCAAAATTTAATGTCCTGATTTACTTGCTAATTGATATAAATGTCCCAAACAAAACGTTGAGATAAATAATTTGAACTTCTGCGCTTATAAAAAAATTAATTTGACTTTCCGGTAAATTATTTTTTTGTGTTTTTTTTCTATGTTTAAGGTAAAAAGGTCAAAAATTGAACTTTAAATACTTATAAAAAAAATTATGCCTATGTATTTTTAATATTTTTCAACTGTTATTTAAGCAATATATCAGGGGCCTTGTATTCAATTTTGACGCTTTTTGGCACAACAAAAAAATTTCATTGAAATTTATAGAAAAAAAGGTGCTCTATTGAACAGTAGGTTACAAGTGGGTCACTGGTATAATAATGGATGGTATTAAATTTGAATTCAATGATATAATATCATTGTATAAGAAAACGATTCTGAGCAGAGACGGTATGTCATTCTAGGTAAGACATATATATACATATATATACATATATATACATAATACATATATAATATACTTATTTATGGTATTAAAAAAATTGACCTATAATAGGTACCTATAATAAATTCCAAATTAATCATATCACAATATCCACTAGGTACATATAACACGTTATACATCAACAACAACCCTGATACTATCATAGATATATAATAGTGTACTTAAGAAGTTTCAAACGAATAATATAATACAATCACAACAAAATAACTAAAATAGTTATTCTAGGTTTTTTATTATGTAATTTCGTCCAAATTTGAACTTAAAATTACTAAAAATAAACTGTGGTTATGTATTTTTTAGATTTTTTGGTAACATAATTAACTACTTACGTGGAATCTTGTTTTAAATTTTCAACCCTTAGATATAAAAGTTGAACATTTTATACATTTTTAACTACAAATAAATTATTCAATTTTAAATATGATAAATTTTGTCAAAAATCGATCTTTAAATGCTTATAAAAAAAATTGAGATTATGTATTTTTAATATTTTTCAACTGCTATTGCAACAATATATCTGGAGTTTTGTATTAAATTTTTAAACTTTTTGGCCCAACAGATAAAACCTTATTGAAATTTATAGAAAAAAAAACTAAAAAAATTGAAAACTGAAAATGTCCGTAAACAGCTCAAAGAGTCAAAATATTTTCAAAATTGTATGGTGTATAGGAAATGCTAATAGAAACATTCAGTGAAATTGTATGTATCTTAGTTATTCATTTTTAAGTTACAACAAAATAATAAAATCGCTACATGAAAATCGAGTGAATATCCAATGTTGTAAAAATATGAACTTCAAACGCTCATAAAAATTTAATTTGACTTTCTTATAGACATTTTATTTTGATAAAGGTAGATAATCTTATGAGGACCCTTGTATTACATTTTAAATTTTTAGATATAAAAAGAAAATATTGTTTGCATTTCTAATTCATATTAATAAATTAATTTACACATAGTACATTAATACGTATGTGAATTTTCTCTAATATTACCTATAAACAAACTGCAGTAAGAATTCGGTAAGTAGATTTTCTGTGTAGACTACACGTGTGGCGTACTGACGTGTTTAAGTCAGTGGACAACACATGCGGGTGTAGCGTCCTCTTAAACTACCTACCGATTAAACTTTTATAATGGCTAATTTTCGCTGTACTATTCGAACGCAGATACAGGAAAAGAGCATTTCATGATAGTTTTAATATTTATACGACAAAATAAAATCCTTAGAAAATATATACCTATACAATTTTTTACCTGATTTTTACCAAACGAAGTGTAAAACTGAGAATAACGTTCAAAATTTTCTTTCTCCTCGTCACTTAAATTGTCGATAAATGTATCCAACGTATCCATCTATAAGTAAATAACAAACATAAAATGTATGAATGATTTAATTGGTATAAATCATATTTTAGTTTTGTGTAATGGGTGACTTTACCGTAAGATTACTTAAAAACATAAAAACAATGATTCAGAGTAAATGCGTTTTGTCTATGTTGAGGGTGGGCGATTGAGAAAACAAACAGTGCGTTGACATCTCTTAAGCTGAATCATATTGACATTGATTAAATATACAAAGATAACCCAAGTCAATGGGCATAATAGAAACTACTAAATTAATAGCACAATGTATATTTAATCAATGATATTAATTAGTAAAAGCTATTTTTGGCATTATTTTGCTGATGTACTACCCCCTAGCCAAGCAATAAAACAAAATATAACAAGACTTCAAACACTACTAATTTATATTTTTTTGTTAAACTAACTTATTATGTCTTATAAGTTATAATAATTGTAGGATATCTTATGTTAATCTTTTTAATCTTAATAGCTTATAAAACAATACAACAAAATATGGTTTAAATTATAAGTTAAAACATTATCTACTAATTTATTACCTATGTTTTCATAACACTATGGCCTATAGAACAGATAATAAATTAATCTGTATCACCTATAGCTGCTACAAAAAAGTGCAATGTATACCAATATAACATAAAATTAGTGTCGTACAATAAGTTGTCACTTTACATTTTGTGAATTATTTAATTTTTAAAGTATTTTGAAATTAATTCTTAACCAATTATAAACAATATTTTATTATTATTTTTAACCAACATTTTTAAAATTAATTTTAAATTTTATGCCAATTTTTTTTAATACAAGAAATGTATAAAAATCAATAATAATTAATTTATGACCCATGTAAAATGATTATTATATTTGAAATTCTTTATTAAATGCTTAAAAATATAATTATTTTACAAAAATATTTGATACTAACACCTGTATATAATATATACTTAAAGTAACATATCAGTAGACTATATTTGTGTTACAACTTTACAAGACTTAATCTTTAATAATTAATATTTTTTAATACCATACCTTCAATATAAATATTTCCCTATTTCCTTAATAATAGCTTGATAGTTAATACTATTCAAATAGTAATAATAAGTAATAACAATAATAACAGGTAAAAACTTTAAATGACTTATGGTGAACTTATTATAAAAATAAATACTATTGTATTTTCCAGGTAGTGTATTATAAAACTGATGAAGGGTTTCAAGAATCAATAAATAAAATAAATCAATTAGAAAATAATCATTAAATTTAAAAAGAAGCAATCTGCAGTGGTCAATGCTTTACAGAAATAGTAATAGTCTTTTAACAAGAAAATATAATCAAACAAATAATTATTCTGAGGCATCTATATTTGCATTTTAATAGAAATTGTTTTGAAACGTACAAAAGCTTATAACATAGTTGCACTTATTGAATTTATTGCTATAATTTTGATGAATATTTTATCAACTGCTTGTTATATTTTGCCTATAACAGCCATTTTGAAATGTAGCTTACACAAATGTCAACAGTAGATATATGCACTGTTATGCAAATAGATGATTATGCATATAAAGTGCCTAGTACTAAAGACATCTTTTACTTGCTTTACAACAAAATGTCTCCAAAACATCAATAAAATATTTGACTATTTTAACAAAAAATATACAAAGTAAAATTACTCATAGTAATATATATACTCACAAGTATACAATTGTATTATGCTGCTTCATTTGTTTTATATTTATTACTTTAGTTCTAAACGGGGAAGTCGTATTCGTGCTCAACCTACTTCATTGGCTAGAAGTCGCGGAAACTACAAGGGTTCTACACATAGAATTAATACAGGGAGACCTCCCACAGAAGCTTATTCCACAGCTGGTAGACATACAATCACAAAAATAAATTAAAACAGTCAAGCGTCTTCATAACGTTTTTTCTAGTATACTATTGTTCTGGAGGTATATATTTCAAGAATTCTTGTTTTTTAAATATTTGTTCTCTTTAAAAAAATATAAATAGTATTTAATATTTACAACATTACCTATGTTCAGATTTAGAATATAATTAAATTAAGGTGGAATATTATAAAGTTTCGATTTTACTATCTAATATCATCTAATCACTTCTTACTGTAAAACAAACATTTAAATATTTATTTGCATAAATATTAATCTCGAGTATAATAATCTAAGTATTCACGGTTAGAAAATGTATTTATATTATAAAAAATTACTATAATCACTTAAAGTATGTTTATCTCCATAAAAATAATAACGTAATAAATGTCATTCAAAATTATAATATATTAAACTAATATTTTTAATTTATTTTAAATATTATTTATAGTTATTATTATCAAAATAAATTGTAAATGTTCTAAAATCTTAAAATTTAAGTATTTAATACTTAAGTAAATAACTTAAGTGTTATATAGGTACTTATACATCATAAATATGTTCACTATTTATTATTAAGTTGTCATTTTGATTAACATAATATCATTAACTCATATTTTAAATCATTGTAGTGTTTTAACTTTTAATTAAGATTTTTAAAAAAACATTACAAATAATTATTTATGAATAGGTACAATATAATATGCAGGAATAGATGTAACAAATACCACTATAAAAAAAATATTTAATGTTTATCATATTTAAACGTATTTTACACATTTTTCTGGACCTGTCGTCTCCCAACTGTAAGTCATTTCATCAGCATATTATTGTTTTTTTTTTTTTCAGATTAGATTTGATTTCTTAAAAATTTCGTAATTTATGAAAATAATATTAATGCTTTCTTTTCTAGCCTACCAGAAGAAACAAAATATTATGATATAATTTGATATGTAACTATTTTGAAATTGATATGATATAATATTTGATGTGATATGTACAGTATTTTATAAGAAAACTTTAGTACTATGTTTTATGAGAGTTTAAATCATTATTTTGTTTAAGCCCAAGTGGGATTGCAAAAAATAATTTGGTCATGACTTATGAGAATTAGGTAATAATGTGTTATATAAAATATAAATGTAAAAAGGTGGGCAAGTGGGTGTCGCTCTTCTGTACAGTAGGTTACAGGTGGGTCACTGTATAATGGATGATATTAAATTTGAATTCAACGATATAATATCATTGTATAAGAAAAACGATTCTGAGCGGAGACGGTATGTCAGTCTAGGTATAAGACATATTATATACATATCTATGGTACTAAACCAAAATTTGACCAAAATTAATCATATCACAATATCCATTAGGTCAGTGGCGTCATTTGGGGGGGGGCAAGGTGGGCATTTGCCCCTGTCTGATTTTAAAACGGCCCGAAGGGCCGGTGCCCAGTTTTTGCCGTTTTACCATTATTATTTTTTATCAGCGCAAAAACATGTCTATTTTATAATATTTTCAGAAAATATTATACTACCTATGTACTCAGAAATTATTGTTACAATGATACATTTTTTCTAATAATTGATAGTTGGAATATATTTATATTTAGACGGATGCGGGGACGTACGCATTGTATGTAGGTATGTTTGTTTGTGTGAGTGTATAACAATAATAATAATGAGTATCGTAATCCCGTATAGTTTTATTTCTAAACTCTAAAATTAATACAAATTCTAAAAACAACAACCGATTGACACTCTTATTAAATATCATTGTCCATTGATACCAGACTTCATACGCAGTTAACTTACGAGTTGCGACAGTCGTGTATGGTTAACTATTCAACTATTCTGCGTATTGTGTTGTGTACCCAGGCCCGGGTTGAACAAATTCGGCCCACCGAGTTTTCCGTACTTTACCAACACACTTAAAAACTGGCGGCCCTTGGGTACGCTCTTATTCCGTGCATAGTTATTTTATTTTATAGTCTCCATTTCTTCAACTTTTAACTCTTAACATATTTTTAGTCAATGCGGCCCCTCATGACTTGAACGGCCCAAAATTGTCGCGGCCCGCTGAGTTTTACATCGGTAACTCGCCGGGTCAATCTGGCCCTGTATTGTACCTTATCCTACCTAAATTAAAATTTATTTTTTCGTGACGCGTGTTTACATTAATCTTTCAATTTGAGCAAAATATGACTTAAAAAAAAGTAAATGGGTGGTGCGGTTAAAAATATAAAATTAACGCAAACCGCTCAAGAATCGAAAACAATTTCTGGTATGTTTAATAAAAATACGAAACTTAAACCAGTAAGCACTAAGCAAGCAATAAAAAAAAATAAATATTATAATTTAAAATAATATTAATTTGAAAATATATCGTATACATATAGAGTATAGGTGATAAGTGATGAATCAGGTAAAATTGATTTATAGATGATGCAGTTGATATATTTTCATAAAATAAAAAAAAGAAGATATCCTTTAATAAGCTACTAATATTTTTGTTTACCAATAAATATTGCTATATTATGTTTGTAGACTTTTAAGTTTTAATTGATGTAGGTGTACAATTGTTTTTTATAAAATATCTGCCACCTTCTATTAAAAAATGATATTACCTAGTTAATAAAAAGGGTTGCATAAATAAATGTAGATAATATAACGAGCGAAGCGAGCGGTTTTTTTTACCTATTCGGGCCGGTTAAAACCTTTGCCCCCCTCTATTGAAAACTGAAATGACGCCACTGCATTAGGTACTTACAACGCGTTATACATCAACAAAAACCGTGTTACTATCATAGATATATAGTACACTTTAGAAGTTTCAAGAACCCACGAATAATATTATTCAATCACAACAAAATAACTAAAATAGTTATTCTAGGTTTTTAATATGTAATTTGTTGATATTTAGGAACCTTGTACGATACACAGACTATTAACACA